CTCTCTCTCTCTCTCTCAGGGAGACTCTGGGGGACCCCTTGTTTGTGCCATGGTTAATCACACCTGGGTCCAAGCGGGCATCGTGAGTTTCGGGGATGGCTGTGCCAGTCCCAACCGCCCCGGCGTCTACACCAAGGTGACCTCGTACTCCAGCTGGGTGCAGTCCACTGTGCCGGGGATCATCCTGTACAGCGGCGCCCCCCACAGGCCGGGCCCCGCCCTGGCGGTGCTGGCGCATGGGCTGATGTCCGTGCTGTTCGCCACCATGCTGAGATAGAGGGGGAGGGGGTGGAGAGAGTGGGGGCTGGTGGGAAGACCAATTGGCAGGGGTCCTGCTTGACCGCAGGTGCGTTAGGGCCAGTTTCGATCTTCCCGCGAGCCGCCGACCTCCGGTGCCAGGATCGCCTGCAATCGGGAACGACCTAATATCACCCCCACCCCGCCTCGGGACGGCACGGTAAGGGGTTGGGGTCTCCGTCGGACGTCTTGGGGTGCCCCCCAGTCCAAGAGGTTCCAAAGGTCGCCGTCTGATCTGCTCTTCCCAGCGAGATCACCTGACCCGAGGTCATCTGGGGTGGCAGTCCGGGTGCCCTTCAGCAAAGGAGGAGCCCGGTTGATGAATCGGCCGATGGGCAGGTTTTGGGGGTGGGGTGGGGGAGAGGGGGTTCTCTCGTTGGTATTTTTAAAACCAGCTCATGAACTGGAATCATTTTAGAATAAACGATGAGTGCTGGAACTATTTCTCTTTTTAAAGAATCCATTGTATGGACAGCAGAGGTGATTTTATGAAGGAGTGTGAATAAATGTCGAACATGAGTGAAAAGTCTCTTCTGTTTTTTTGGGTCGTGGGAGACGTGGGCATCGTTTTGTCTTCACAGAGTTCGCCGTGCCTCTCGCTAGAGTGGGGGGTTCGCACTGTGGAAGTCTTGGAGTGGTCATTTGGGGTGTCTCGGGGGTCCTGGAAGGAAGACGGGGTTTACGAAGTCTCATCCGTGCTGGAATGGGGTTTTCCCATCTCTCCCATCAGACAGCACTGTCTCCCAGCATCCTCTCCTCTACAGCTGATCTCTTCCTGTCTCACAGTGCTGTCGGATGGGTCTCCCTTCCTCTCCCAGCATCCTCTCCTCTATAGCTGATCTCTTCCTGTCTCACCCACCATACAGCACTGTCTCCCTCTCCCCCTCCCAGCATCCTCTTCTCTACAGCTGATCTCTTCCTGTCTCACCCACCAGACAGCACTGTCTCCCTTCCTCTCCCGCTCCCAGCATCCTCTTCTCTACAGCTGATCTCTTCCTGTCTCTCCCATCAGCCACTACTGTTGCCCAGAATACTCCCACTCTGCCCTACTCCCAGCATCCTCTCCTCCACACCCTCCATCCTTCGCTCATGTCCTCGGTCTCAACAAGCTGCTTTAGCAGGCAGACACACCACTCACTCTGCTTTCTCAAGGTGTTTTTATTAAAACATCTTTAAAAAAAAACTGAAGGGGCAAAACAGGAGCATAAAAAAACACTTGACTGTTATTATTGCAGTCATGATCCAGTGGAATAACAGGAAGTACCAGTGAGCAGGTGTGGACCGAGAGTGGAAGGCAGACAGGTCGGGGCAGTGTCTGCGCTCCTCTTGCAGATTTTAAAAGCCAACTGAACCCGCTGTCAAAGACGGTCACTTATCTGTCCCCTCCGATCGACCTTCAGCATCTGACCGACATCGATCCCCTCAGCTCGGACCTCTCTGTGTCATACCAACATTGCTCCCCTCCGCGTCTCTCCAACACCGGCCCCCTCCGTCTGACCCTCCCCGTCTCTCCAACACCGGCCCCTCCCCTCGACCCTCCGCGTCTCTCCCTGACGCCGGTCCCCTCCGTCTGACCCTCCCCGTCTCTCCAAC